CAACTAAAAAATATTTTTTAAAAAAGAAGGAAATCAATCACCTTAAGATATATAGAACCCCGTGGAGAGCTGTGACAGAGAATGGGAGAGCAGTGTCCGAGATTGGGGTCTCTGATGACTTCATGGCTGTGGCATGCTTGGTGCCTGAGAAAATTTCCGTGCAAAGGTGCAGGACGCCTAGCTACTGTGGTAATTCCCTCCATGAGGAGGCTCTGGGATGAGTCTTATCAGCCTTAACCTTGATCTCAGGCACATAGCTCTTGGAAATAGAGGAATTTTCTTGCTAGGCGACCACAATGTTTACGAGATCCATGTTTCGCCAGCTTCCTCCTGAACCTGCCCACCTAACAGTAGCTTTAAACAATGGACTTTCTTGAGAGCTACACATAGCTCCTAACATTGCACATTGCAACTGTAAAATGTAACTGCAGAATAAGCTAAAAATGTTGCTAACTCTGCAGCTTTCTTGCACACAAAGTATAATGCTTACATAGTCTTTAATCTGATAATGAGATATAAAAAAAATATAGATTGCTGGTGTAATTTTTAGACCCGCTTCTCCACCAGAGAGCAGTGCTCCACCTGACCCAGCTATATCTTCACAGTCTGCATCCATGAGTCTTTATTTTTCTTATCCCCATTTGCCCCTTGTCAGAACTGGCTAAATTGGCAGCACTGGTCATGGAAGAACCCCATTCCCACATGTCAACTACTTCAAAATTAAATGGCACACTTACAGATATCTCACAGGTCAAGGAATAAAGCACAAGGAAAGTAAATAAAAGTGCTTTGAACTAAGCGATCACAAAAGCTTAAAATAAAGGGCTGGGGATGTGGCTCAAGCGGTAGCGCGCTCGCCTGGCATGCGTGCGGCCCGGGTTCTATCCTCAGCACCACATACAAACAAAGATGCTGTATCCGCCAAAAACTAAAAAATAAATATTAAAAACTTTATGGGCTGGGGATGTGGCTCAAGCGGTAGCGCGCTCGCCTGGCATGCCTGCGGCCAGGGTTCGATCCTCAGCACCACATACAAACAAAGATGTTGTGTCCGCCAAAAACTGAAAAATAAATAAATAAATAAATATTAAAAATTCTCCCTCTCTCTCTCTTTCTCTTTAAAAAAAAAAGCTTAAAATATCAGAATCCCTGGAATGAAACAGTGATCAGATGAATATCTATATCCTAAGGTACTTCTATCAGAAAGAAGCTAGGTTGACAATCAAATTATTTTCAAATTAGGTAGTAGAAAGGAAAAAAAATGAGTTGGAGCAGAAGTATATGAAATAGAGAAGAAATAATACAGCTAAAAGTTGATAAAAATCAAACAAGTTTAATCAAGAAAAAAGAAGGGGCTGGAGATGTGGCTTAAGCGGTAGCACGCTCGCCTGGCATGCGCCGGACGCTGGGTTTGATCCTCAGCACCACATACAAATAAAATAAAGATGTTGTGTCCACCAAAAACTAAAAAATAAATATATAAAAAAAGAAGAAAAAGAACACAAAAATTAGTATCAATGGAAAGGGAGCTATCAAAATAACCCTACAGATGCTAAAAATATATGAAGGTATATGAAGGTAGCATTACAATTGCGTGCCCACAAACGTGATATCTTACATAACATGGTCTATATTAGAGAAGGATCTGCATGCTGCTGAAAAGAAAGTCATTGATGGATGAAATATTTTATATATGTCTGTAAAGTCTAAATTATAAATTGTATTTTTAGTTCTATAACTTCTTTACTTAGTTTTTTAAAAAATATTTTTAGTTGTAGATGGACAAATACCTTTATTTTGTTTATTTTTTTTTTTTTATTGTGGTGCTGGGGATCATACCCAGTGCCTCATGCATGCTAGGCAAGCACTCTACCACTGAGCCACAACCCCAGCCCTTTATTTAGTTTTTGTTTTATTTAGTTTTATCCAGTGGTGACAGAGGCATGTTAAAATTACCCAGTATTATTTTGTTGTGATCTATCTGATTCTTGGAAGCTAGAAGGGTTTCTTTGATATACATAAATGCTCCATTGTTTGAGGAATAAATATTTATGATTGTTTTGTCTTCTTGATGTATAATTCCCTTAAGCAGTATGAAATGTTTTCCTGTCCCTTCTGATTAACTTTGGCTTGACGTCCACCTTATCCGATATGAGGATAGAAACCCCTGCTTGTTTATGAGATTCATGTGAATGATGTGTTTTTTTCCCATTCTTTCACTTTCAGTCTGTGAATATCTTTGCCTATGAAGTGAGTCTCTTGGAGACCCCATATTGTTAGGTCTTGTTTTTTAAACAAATCTGCCAGACTATGTCTTTTTTTTTTAATCTGCAAACTAAGAAATATATATATATATATATATATATATATATATATATATATATACACACACACACACACATATATACATATATATGAAATAGAAATAGAAATATATTAAATAGAGAAGAAATAATACATATATAATACGTATATATTTCATAAATAGAGAAGAAAAATAATTCATATATATATATTTCTTAGTTTGTAGATGGACACAATACCTTTATTTTATTTATCTATTTTTATGTGGTGCTAAGATTGAACCCAGTGCCTCAAGAATGCTAGACAAGCACTCTATCACAGAGCCACAACCCCAATGCTCAAGCTATGTCTTTTGATGGATGTGTTTAGTACGTTTACATTCAATGTAATTATTGAGAAATGATTTTTATTCCCTTCCATTTTGATTTCTGGTTTTTATTTTGAATTAGTTTCTCCTTTCATTTACTATTCTTTTAGTTTTGTTCCTCCCTTTGTTGGTTTTCACTTTTATTTTTCATTTCTTCTTCATAAAAATACTTTTTTTGTTCTGTTGTGCAGGCTTTCTAGTTGTGAATTCTTTTAACTTTTGTTTATCATGGAAGGCTTTTATTTCATCAATTCTGAAGCTTAATTTTGATGAGTCTGGTATTCTGGCTGGTATTCTTGGCTGGCAACCATTTTCTTTCAGAGCTTGGTATATATTATTCCAAGACCTTCTAGCTCTGAGGGTCTAGGTTGAGAAATCAGCTGAGATCCGGATTGGTTTCCCTCTAAATATTATCTGCCATTTTTGTTTAGAAGACTTTAAAATTCTATCCTTATTCTGTATGTTAGATATTTTCTTAATAATGTGCCTTGGTGTATATACCACATTTTCTTTATCCATGCATCTCTGTTCATGGGCACCTGGGCTGGTTCCATAACTTGGCTATTGGAATTGTGCTATAATAACACACATGGATACACATTTATCTCTAAAATATACTTTAATTCTTTTGGATAAATACTAAGAAGTTGTATTGTTAAGGCGAGATTGCAATAAATCACCGAGTCGACCTTAAAGCAGGAGATGGAAAATTTATTCACCAGCCTGTGGTCCAGATCCACCAGCTGGCAGGCCAAGGGGTCAGCTGCAGTCTATACCCTTCCACCCACTTCCAGGGTTTGAGTACCATATTAAAAACCATATTAAGGCATAAATGGCTGTTGCTATGATTCAAAACCATAAACAAACATCATGAGATTTAAAATCATAAACAGAAAATAGAATGGGCCCAAACATCCCTAGTTGTGTACAAGTTAAAGAATGGTTACTAACATCTAGACAATCACTCTCTGACAGGGTCATTGTCCAAGAAAAATGGGAACCAAAGAGAGAATACTTTTATATCATATAAGAATTGCCATTTTTGGTTGCCAAATATGCTATGCTAAGCAACTATTGTTGGGTAAAGAGGTGGGGCTTTCCCTGGGAGAAGGATTTCTTACATGATATGGAGTCTCAGGCAAAATGGAGTCTGTTTGGTCATTGTCCATGTAGCCTGACCCATAACAGTATAGCTGGATCATATGATATATCTACTTTTAGCTTTTGAGGAAACTCCACACTGATTTCCATGGTGGCTGTATTCATTTACATTTCCACCTTATTTCAAGCATTTGTTGTTAGTCATATTCCTTTTGAAAATATCTTTGTAGTTGTAGATAAACACAAAATCTTAATTTATTTATTGATATGTGGTGCTAAGAATCAAACCCAGTGCCTCACATGTGCTAGGCAAGTTCTCTACCACTGAGTCACAACCCCAGCCCTGTCTGTTGTATTATTTTTATTATTATTTTATATATTTTGGTTGTAACTGGACACAACATCTTTATTTTATTTATTTATTTTTATGTGGTGCTGAGGATCAAACCCAGTGTCTCACCTGTGCTAGGCAAGTGCTCTACCACTGAGCCACAACCCCAGCCCCGTGTCCGTTGTATTCTTGATACTTGCCATTCTAACTGAAGTGATTGGGATCAAAAAGCTTTTATTCTACTGCTCTGAGGCTGCAGTAAACCTTATTCTGTCACTATTGATTACAGAAAAGATGAATCAAGTACCTCCAGGAAAAAAATGCTTAATTCTGACTTATCAAAATACTTTAAACTTTTGTTTTTAAAAATTAATACCAGCCAACTTCATAAATACATATATAGCAAGTATATGATTGGATATAGACTCCAGAGAGAGAGAGATACCCCGTCAATTCATCTAACACACATCTTTTTTTCTTTTCTTTCTTTCTTCTCAGTGCTGGGGATGGGACCCAGGACGTGTGCATGACAGGCAAGTGCCCTACAAAGAGCTATGTCCCAGCTCCCTTGATGGAGCACCTACCATGTGTTGGTTTCTGTCCTAGTCCTAAGACACACAGCGAAGCCCTTGCTCTCCTGTAGCTCAGGATACATCTAAGAGAGTGAAGGACAAACAACAAATACTAGAAGGCCGAGCCAAGGGCCTCTGTTGACTCAGGAGCTAGTCTTCTTCCAAAACACACATCTCCTCCTTCCACAGCCCCTGGCACTTCCAAGCTGTGGCCTGGGAGAGGGGGAAGAGTCCTCAGACACAGGCCCTTCCCTGTCCTCCTGTGGAACCCAGAGCAGGTATAAAAGGGCCCTGGGCTTGGCAGGATGCATCTGCCACCTGCACCATGAAGCCAGCTAGTGCTCTTGTGCTGCTGGGCACTGCTCTCCTCCTGATCTTGGGTGCAAGTGGGTACCTGGGTCACCATCCCGGATGCCTGGGGATGTGGGTTTCTGAGGGGTTCTGACACCTTCCCAGGGCAGTTTTGATCATGCTGGATTGAGCAGGGTGGGGGTGAATGTGTTCTGATGTGTGTCTTTCAAGGGAAGCTCAGCTTGTCTTTGTGTTCCAGATTGTGATATTTGCCCGGCTGTGAAAAAGGATGTTGAGATTTTCATGAAGGGTACCCTCGAAGAATATGTTACATACGTGTCAAGATTCCAAAGTAACCCTTTAGTATTGAACAACGCTAAAATCCTAAAGCAATGCATTGATGCCAAACTGACAGAAGAGGATAAGGATCTGGTGCTCAGTGGGCTGGTGAGTCTACTGAACGTGTCTGGGCCTCTGTGCTGGCGGGGACATCTGCTCATCCCCATGCAGTGGGTGGGGGCACTCATTCTCGTCCCTGTCAAGGTTCCTCCCTAGGAATCTATCTGAAAGGAAAAACGCCTTGTGGATGATGGGGTAGGGACGGTGGAACAGACACCTGCAGTAGCGGGGAGGACCACAGGGGAACTCGGGGTACCCCGGATCGATGGGATGGGCCCTGGCTCTTCAGTTTGCTGGACCCACCTGAGAACGTCCAGGATCAGCTGTCTGCAAGGCACCACGTGGCTCCTGTGTCAGAGCCTTGACTCTGGTCTCCCTGACTCCCGCTCCCCTAAAACGCTGCCATATCCCCTCAAGCCTCTTTCCCTCCTGTCCCAGACTCTGCTCCCACCCTCACCCCAGCAGGGCGGACCCTCCCCTCCTCTTTGCTGTATTGGCAGGAGTTTTATAAGAGCTTCTCAGGCACCCCTTGGGATGCTCTGGTGATGCAGGGGATTTGGAAAAAAACAATCTTCCTTTATCTGCTCAGATCCAAGAGCCATGCTCCAGACAAGGCTGCGGGCACTTCCAGGAAGTACCCAGCAGAGTGTGAGGTGTGGCCTGATGTCTTTCACCCCTGACGCCTCCTCAGGCTTCCTGACATTCTCTTTGCAGGATAAAGTATACGCAAGCGATCTGTGTTGAGGGATCCATCTTTCCCAGGAGACCCAAGGAAGCCATTTGCCTGATCACTATGTAGTCCCAGCAATCCACCCTGTCCAGGTGCCTGACTAAAGATTCCAGCAATAAATTCCTTGCAATGCATGAAAGAGTCCTTAGTCCTTGGAAGCGTGATAAGGCCTTCCGGTGGGAGACGGGACATGGCACAGCAGGGACAACTAGTGTGACTTCCAACTGCAGCTGGATTTGAGTGCTGTGAGAGGTTGTTCCTCCACTGGATTTAATAGATCTGTCAAGGTGACAATTTCCAACAGCCATAGTTGTCTAATCATTTCTGTGGACCGGATCCTTAGGTCACATGCATAATCTACCAAGTTTTAGCCTCCCAGAAACCTTGAGAGATGAGAGTAGTCTTAGTCTTGCAGGTGAGGGAACTCAGGCCCAGAGAAGTAACGTATCTGCTGAAGACCATGTAGGTTCTGGGCAGCAGATCCCCTCTAGCCACTGCTGGCGGGGGTCCCAGGCTCACTGTGTAGCTATGAATGTCCAATAGTACTTCCCTGAGCCTCTGATTCCCACCTCTAAGATGGAAATAATACCTCCTCTCTCCACAGCTGTGGTGAGGCCAAAGTAAAATAATGGTCTAGAAGGGGCCCCTTCTTTAAGTATCTAACAGGGGAGAAAGAACCAGAGGGTTGAGGTGCAAGTACTGAACCTAGACAGGACCAGGAAATCAACTCTCACGCCCCAGTTTATCCTAATGCAAACCACCAAACTGTGGGATCAGCTTCCTCCTATGATCACATTACAAGCTGTGTCTTACACACAGAGTGGGAATCTAGGGTCCTAGAGTGTCAGAGCTCCTCCCATGATTCTCCTCTGTGTCATGATCCCAGAGCCTTTCTCAGGTCTTGCTGTCTCCTGTCAGGCTCCTGTGTCCTGGCCTCTGCCACCTCCTTTACAACTCCATCACAACCCACTGAGAGTTGCACAGATTAAAGTGTGCTGGACACACACCACAGGGCTGTGCCCAGGAGGGGTCCTCAAAACAAAGAGGCTTATAGAAGGCCACCATGGGTGATCCTGAGAGCACTTCTTCTCTCCTTGTGGGGCATGACTTGAGGGTAGTAGGATATGTTAGTTTGCTTCCTGTTACTATAATAAAATGCCTGAAGCTGAGTACTTATAGAGAAAAGAGGTTTTTCTTAGCTCACCATTTTAGAGACTGAAAGTCCAAGATCAGGTGGCCCCATCTGTTTGTCCCCTGATGAGAGCCACCTTGGCTCTCCCAACATGATGAAATAACAAACAGAAAGGGAACTGGGCACAGGGCCAAGCATGTGGGGTGGCCTCACTTAACAACCACTCACTCAGGAGAACTAACTTACTCTGAGAGACCAACATTAATCCCTTCCCAGAGCAGCATCCCCAGGACCTAACACCTCCCACTTACTCACCTCTTGACGGTTCCAGCACCTTCACATCGCCACACTGGGGGCTCAAGCTCCTGAACCTTGGGGGATACACTCAAACCCTCTTCAGACCAAATATCACAGGAGAAGACCACCTTGCCCAGAGTGAGGCCTGGCTGTCAGCGACCCACTAATCTAGTTCTTGAGGGTCTGGCTGGAGGCTGCTTGTGAAATAGGTGGTTCCTGCCTCTGAAGGACCCAGGGGAGTTTAGGAGACACGAGAAGACTGTGGGGCAGAGACCTTCTTATCCCCCCACACGTGGGACCCAGGAGGTGTATCCCATCGCTCCCCTACTCTACAGATTTAAAAGCTCCAGGGCTTCTAAGAACTGGTGCTGAGAGCCACAGCCGAGTCTGTATGGCCCCTGGCATTTTGCCAACAGTATTGATTGACAGGCGAGGCATTACTATCCGCCTCTGCCGCAACTTTTGAGTTCTCGCACTATTTTGGAGTTCTTGTGGGGATTTCCGGGGATTCCCCGAGAGTTCCCATTGGTTGGGGAAGTGCAGGAGGAGGGATTTCTGGGAGAGATATTTCCGGCAGGGGGGTTCCAAGACAAGCCTCGTGGCGTTCGGGAGGATTCCCCGGGAGCTGTGTGAAGTGTTTTCCTGCAGTTTAAAAATAAAGTTTGTTCCTGCTTCAGTGGCTCGTGATTTGTGCCCAGCCAGACTGCGGCAAACTGGGGTGCAGCTCAATGGTAGAGTGTTTGCCAAGCACGTGCAAGGTTCAGGGTTTGGTCCCCAACACTGAAATAAAAAGTTCCCGGGGAGAGTTGCCACCCAGATGAGTTGGGGGGGTGCTGGATCTCACATTGTCTTGGGTACAGGCTCCCCCCACCCCCACCCCCGCCTCTCCTGAGTTTGGAGGTGTGGCAGGTGCCCTATCTAAAGATGAGGAGAGATGAGTGATAAGGAGTTTGTCCTCAGGTAGAGCACGTTCCTTTGGCTACAGCTCAACTTCCCCAGTCCCTGGAGACTCCTGGACACCAAAGGGACATCTGGATATGGTCCATGTGCTCTCTCCCCTCTCATTCCCTTTCTCCAACCTGTCGAATCTTTGGATCACCTGTGATGGGGAGTAGGGGTGAGTGGGGTGAGGAGCAGATGTCCGGCCATATCTTTCTGTCTGACACCCAAACCTAGGGTTTAGATGATCTTGTCAAAAGTTTATGGGTTTTGATCTCTTATTCTATGGGACATTTCCTCCAGAGTCATTGAAGTCCTGCCTCATTTCCACCCCCACCTACCTGGGCCACCTGCAGCTGCGGCGGACTGTCCCCTACAGGCAGATCTCGGTCCACTGCTGTCTCCAGCACCTGGGAACCTGATGGACCATTGTTAGGCTCCCTCTGAAAGTCTGAGGGAGTTAATGTCCACAGGGCCACCCTCAAAGGAGGCAGACCCCAGCCCCCTTGGCTTCTGGAGGACTGGCTCTGGCATGAGTCCCTAGTTGCCCGTCCCACGTCTCTCCTCATTTTTCGGTTTCATTTTCATGTGAGCACCCTGAGATCACCTCCCAATAAACTGTCTGCTCCCAAGTCTTTGTGTCTGGGTCTGTTTTGATGGGAACACAAATTAACCCTGGGACCCACGTTCGTCGACCTACTCGGGAAGGAAAGGTGACCAAACAGAAGAGGTTCAAAGAGGGCAGCGGGAGGAAGGGAGTTGGGATCTTTGGGTTGGCTCTTCAGAGGCTTCATCCTCTACCATAATAAGGAGGGATGGGAAGATGCCCTCTCGCCACTTCCTTCTCTAGGGACCTTGTATCCTGGGATATTCCCAAACTTCCTACACACTTCAGTGGTGCACCCCCTGACCCCTGCTCATGGGACTCCTGGGGATTCCTGGCAGAAGTATAGACTTCTCTACAGGTCAAGGCCTGGAATCCAGGAAAAGACAGAGCCAAGGAAGCAAACTCTGGGTACGGGACTGAGATACCCCCCAAAGAGGAAGAGACCCCAGACCCAGCACGCAGCAGGATTGCCTCCTTGGCTGCAGTGAGGTTCTGCATTGGTGAATGACTCCTTGGTTGTCACCACCGTAGCAGGAAATTTCTCTTTGCTTTCTTTTCTTAAAAATTAGGGGCTGGGGGATGGGGTTGTGGCTCAGTGGCGGAGCGCTTGCCTCTCACATGTGAGGCACTGGGTTTGAGCCTCAGCACCACACAAAAGTAGATAAACAACCCCGGGCACGATGGCTCACGCCTGTAATCCCATCAGCTCCGGAGGCTGTAACAGGAGGATGGCAAATATCAAAGCCAGCCTCAGCAAAAGTGAGGCCCTAAGTAACTCAGGGAGACCCTGTCTCTAAATAAAACAAAAATAGGGCTGGGGATGTGGCTCAGTGGTTGAGTGCCCCTGAATTCAATCCCCAATACCAAAAATAAATAAATAAACAAACAAAGTGAAGATATTGTGTCCAACTATAACTAAATATTTATTTATATATTAAAAAACATTAGGGGCTGGGGTTGTGGCTCAGTGGTAGTGGCTCACCTAGCACGTGCAAGGCGCTGGGTTTGGTCCACAGCACCACATAAAAGTAAATAAATAAAATAAAGGTATGAAAAAAAAGATGAAAAGATTATATAGCACTGACTCATGTTTCAAAATTATAACATATGTACACGCATCCTCAGTCTGCAGTGCTGGCAGACCCAGGAGTCAGGAAACCCAGCTCAGTCCTCAAATCCAGGCTTCTGAAAAGGGCCACATGGAAGGGACAGGTATTTTTTTTGTGTTCCCCAGGATGGCCTCCACAGGAAGGCATAGAACTTAATGAGTCCTCAAGGGGACTCACAAAGGAAATAGTTGAATAAAACAGAAGTACACTCACATCTAGTGCTCTCTGTGTGCAATATGAATTGTAATGCATTCCACTGTCGTACATGACAAATTAGAATAAAAATTTAAAAAAAAAAAGAAATATGCTTACATCTCATGGACACTATAGAAAGAACATGAAGACTCATCATCTCTGTCCTCACTTTACTGAAGAAACTGCAAACCCACAACCCCAGGTATGGGCAGCAGCAGCAGAGATGCTGGCATAGGCCATCACAAGACGCCAAAGAAAGGAGCCCTCCTCATGACAGAGGGCAAGCCCCGGGACAGTCACACCACCCTGAGGTCGGCTCCAATCATCAGAGAAAGACCTAAGATTTGAGGGGAAGACCCAAACTAAGAGAGACCCAGAGGAGTCTCAAAACTCATCAAAGCCTATGCTAAAGTGGGTGCATTCAACTACAAATGAATTGTCAACAAATGGATTGTTCCACTACTAAAAATACACATGCCTGCGGAACACTCCAACACCTTTCATAGATAACATGTAAAGAAGAGCGACTTAGAATGAGAAAAGAGGGGACAATTTTAACCTATTATGTGTAAACATCTTATTTTTTCATTTAAAAAAATATGATTATGTAAACATATTGCTGTGTCCCTTTCTGGCAACTGAATTGTCCTCCGAGAGAGTCAGGGCACCTAAATGTATGCTTCATTAGCTTTATGATTAAATGTGCATCTGCACTGGAAGCTGAGAGTTGCAAAT